TGTTATTTTTGAGGATCTCTGATTTACTCTCGGTTTGAGCCCCGTTGTCACGCCGGATTACATTTGTACATTTTTTGGAGTTAAAAGGTACGAATATCCAATGAAGTAAATTGATTTTCACGACGAATTCGTGGTACCTCTTTTAATGGAATTATTTAATCAGAAAAAAACTCTTGTAAAAAAGGCAAGCGTTACTTAACAGACCTTACTAACTACCTACTCTACCCTCGTCCATTAATTTTCCGCTTTTTTATTTTGATACAATATAAAAAAACGTTTTGTTACTATGTTGCTAAAATAAAAAGACTTGTATTCCTGTTATAATCGCCTACTTTAATTATGGTTAATTTAAAGTGGTAATAATTAATTTAAAATGTATGGTAAGCTATGTTAAATGTAAAATAAATAAAATGTTTGTACTTTTTCTGTGACCGTTGTGTGCGTTTACAAACATACAAGTTCATATGCAAATCACACCCAGACCCAGAACAGCAACTCATTGATCACGTAAAGAGCTGATCCGTGTAGGAATCAAACCAAGAACACATTTTGCAGCAGCCAGTTGCCTAGGCAATGCGCCAACCAATTCATTGCTACTTTTAATACGAGAATACTTGTTCTTAATTCAACATTACTTTCGAATACTGCAGATTTTACAATCTTTAATTTACAACATAAAACAAGTCAGCGATAATTTAAGACATTGTTTATCAAATGATGATGTTGATGTCTAAAAACAATCAAACAAAACTCATTTAAATCACTGTTCCAACAGACACATGTATAAATATTGTAAAGCAACATATCTCCGTACAATTTCGAGTTTATAACTTGGGACCTATATCTTGTGCGCAACTCCGAAGTGTTTGCACGTGTGTCGTAATAGCAGTTAGGTATTACTTATAGCAACCGCCACGAACTTGATGTACGGGCACTACGCCATCAGACTTGTCGCTCTGATCAAACTTAATGAGCTCTTGTATTTCCTTTTGCTTTACAATTATCTTTTAAGATTGTATGTCCATAGAAATGGTTTTATAAATCTATTTTTAACAACTTTACTTAAAGAAAACGGACTGTATATAAATTTAAGAGATATATTAATTTCTTATTGAACATGATTTTTTTTAAACACTATCTTACAGTTACACCTGACTGTGTTACCTATCTGAATAATTATCGATGAGGTGTGACATAAATGCATGCATGTAATGAGGAGATACTTTCGACGGTAAAGAAAAACATAGTAAGGAAACTTACAATTATAATTTCTAATGCTGATGATGATGATGATGATAAATGAATATAATACTTCCACTCGGGAACACTCGGTACCTTTGATTTAACTAACCATAAAAAAACGTTATAATAAAAAATAAAATCTTATAGAAATGGAATAGAAACATTATTCTTATATTAAAACTAAAATGTCGAAGTACCACTTAACCCCACGTGTGAAAGCAGTAAAAACTGAGTTAAGATTACAGAAATCCATTAATATCAATGAGGTTAACTCGCCCATACCTTACCTAGTCACTATAACTCATTGCTCGGCTAACCATTTCACCGCTGAATCAATGTGGAATTCATGGAAATCGATTTGATACGTAGTGACCTTAATGTATTTTTTGTTGCGTAGGATTTTATTAATTCCATTTGTAAAGGTTTAAAACAAATCGAATAGTTTACTTACTGCTTTTTTCAGTACCTAGTCCAAGGGTTAAACTCACTATCCTGTAATTGATTCGGCTGCAGAGTTAGGGTTCAGTCAACCCCCAAAAACTCGTTATGTATGTACATACATACGTATATGCATCAGTGTGGACAGTGTAATCGGATTATTTATGTGTGCGAGACTGACGACCGCAGCACGATCATGGCTGCGGACTTATTGCATTATGTCACAGCTTGGGGGCGCCCTGGTCTGGCGCTCTCTTCACGTTTTCGTGTAAACACGACACCACTCTACCAGCGAAATTAGATGATTTAACCTAAAGCGGCAGAACTATTCAATTATAAATTATATCATGCTATCACCAGCAGTGTCTTGTGTTGGGATTATAATTCATACTATATTGATAAAGGAATATAAAGAACACATTTAGTGACAACCGCTTCAAGGTTTTACGAATTTAAAGTTTATAAACTTAAGTATAAATTAGTTAATTTTTTTTCTAGGACAAACACTTAATATAAATTCATTATTTTTGTTATATCTAACTCGAGACAGAAAATAGATTCAAAAGGATGACGTCACAATTTCGTAATGAGCTTGCAACATGACGGATGATAGGTATTTTTTTAAACCATCAATACCTCGGTCTGCTGACTTTGTGACCGTCACTAAAATTAAATGAGGCCTAAGTTGTGACAATTACAGTAAATATGTACATGTATTCAGTTCATCGCAGAATAACTTTAGCGAGCAATATCTAATACATATATGAAAGACATACTAGCAACGACGTCCTCTCAAGCGCTGCACAAAGTTCACTAACCTCGTCTAAAAATACGACGCTTCTACCAAACAATGGCATCTCTTTTATACGAACTTGTTCTATAACAATTTTGCATGTTTTGTTATTGGAAAATGTTGTACTCAACTTGAGATAACAATACTCCTTGCGTTTCTATTTAAGCAAGCAAAGTATTCGTTGAGCGAGTACCTAGGCTTGAGTTGGCACAAAATGTTCCATATACATATTTGTCATGTGGTAGTTATTCGAAGGCGTCGGTGTATACCGACACATTGAGCGCCAACGAGACGGAATCATAGTGAATACGCTGAGTTTATCTCAGACGTTTATCTTCGCTTTATTCGTCTCAACCCCTCATCTTTACCGGTTGCTACAAATGAGTGTTGCGTATCGACACTGTCTATGTGTGTCTTTTTTGAAACGGGTATACTACACTTGCCACGTTCTTGTATATGACGCTATGAATATAGGAACAGCAACATATATCTTATGTATCTCGTATATATAATATATATAAGGACTCCTCGTGTACGCTGAAATTGTTAACCAACATACACATTGCATTCCTCGCAGTTAATTAACTCTGTCACCACTACAACAACGAAGTTGAACTAACAATTGTAAGTAACGTAGCAATTATTAAAATATAACAGCACAACATTTGCAAAGACTCCATTTGTCTGCAGAAGAAGCTCGCAAACAGAATAGTTCGCATAATAAGTTGGGAATAGGACTCGGCAGTAGTGAGCCGAAAGCGGCGGAACTTAGCTCAACAATAAAGTTGAAAAATCGAGGGGATTGCTGCGCTGCGGGCGTCGCACGGAGAAAAAACGACGCCAACATTTCGCACTTAATGAAACTGTAGCTGAAACAAAATAAAGGAATGTATTTACGGCCGGCACTAAGCATTGTTCCAAGAATACTCCACTTACAGAGCCCGCTCCTAATGGCGGAGATAAAATATTTGAGGTGTCTTATAATTATTTAATTGCCGCCTTTCTCTATTAGCCATCGGGGAATTTAATGACTGCGTTCGACGACAACGTACTGTCACTAAATACACTCTGATTACGAACGGATAGCCAGGTTCATAATTTTATTTAATGATAAGTAAACGTTAAATGCTTAAATGCATCGCATCATTCATAGATTAAAATATTTTCTCCTTATTATCAAAGGATTAATTTTAATAAAAATCCTTTTGCGTGGAACGAGGGGTGTCGGACGCTGCAAGTGCGGTGTAGTGGTGTACGAGGCGGGCTCAGCTCAGTGCAAGTTTTAATTACTTCGCCCCCACTTCTCGAGCTTGTTCCTAGGATGGGGCTATTTCGTCTCACAACTAAAAACTCTCATTTATAAACTGTGTTTTCAGTAATTTTTTAAACTTCTTGATACGTAATAAGAGCTAGTTATAAGGTTTCTGAAGTTTCTAATTCAGTACGTAAAAACATTCTCATTGAAAGTGTAAGTTAAGTTCTCGTGATTCAAATATAGTTGGCGCATATTTTCAACTTGTTTTTTGTTTCGCATAGTTTCATAAACGAGCTACGGTTAGTTTCAAAAACATTAGAGCTACCTATGTACCTATTCGTATATACATATGTAGTAGGTGCCCCTTAATGGCCTAGGTGTTTCAACAACGAAGTTTATACTATCGACGTGGGGCAACACTAGTATGGTACCGGCAATCGTTTCTGTGTCGTTTAGATCACGCAACCTCTATCATTATTAACAAACGCTTGAAGGTCAAAGGATTGCCAAACGTTTGGGATGGGCTTAACTTATTTCTTAAATTATTTTTGTTTTTACTATCCAAAATTTTACGTCTAAATTGGTTTATTTAATGTTTAACTCTAGGTAATCTTTGAACACAAAGTCATCTCGTTTGCTGAAGATTAAGGGCGAGTCCTATTTAGTTGGTTAATCCTATTTTTTATAATATTCTGCCAGACAAAGTGTAATCAAATTAAATGAAGGAAAAGGTGCAGACGAAGCAACTTCATTTTTAAGGTTATGAATTTAATGAATAATATTAAATTTTGCTATGATATTAAAATGAAACAAATCAAGCGGAAAGCTACCTGAATGGTTATAAAAACCTTAGGGAGAGGAAATAACACGTCCTGTCTTTAATAAAGGAAGAGAAAGGTGTGGCGGGATAGAAGCTGATTATTTTTGATCGTTCGCTAATGCCTGCCTGTGGGACAAAGGCAGCTATCGATCAGCCCAATTCCACGCCGGCTAATTGCCGACAATTGTCTCCCGCTTTTATCCGGCCACTCTTTGTGCCAGCGAGCCGTGGTTCGATCCATGACTTGACTGTTCCAACCCTTGTAAATCATACCAAAAGGGAAATGTTGACACAAATACTAACTTTCGTTTTAAGCCGTCATACTTTTGCGATACGTCTTATTTATCGCGCGCATAATCAGTAACCATATGCAGCGCTAATATAGAGAATATGTAATAGTGAAATCTGTTTGTTGTACTCCATTTAATTAAATTATACTATTTGTTACACAGCGCATAATGGACAGCGCAGAGGCAGCTGCTTTATCAGCAGGCAATGGGGGCAGTGATGGAGCTCCAGGGTCATATTATGATGCTCGCTGGCTGAACGTGCACGCGGACGACGGGACACTAGCAGCACGGGCACGGCGGCTGGCACTGACGCCAAGCAGACACTTTGACCACATCGCCGTTAACACCAGCTACAGCGCTGTGCTCATGCCACCCTACATCAACACTGACGGTACGTACACGTGTTACGTGTTAAAATACATATAATTAAATAAAAATAAATTAAATCCTAGTATACAAAAGCAAGTTATTCGTTAATTACGTAATAACCGTTTTAATAAATACAAACAATTAAAATAAATTGCTACCAGTATAATTATAAAGAAAATATGAAAAAAAAAACAATCAACGGTTTTCGAAATTTCTAATAGAAAGTAATTGTAACTGATCAACGTTCAACTTCAATTTACTGGTACGGTAAATTCAAAATAAAAAATTCGAAATACGAAAATGTGAACTCAATTTATGTTTTACGCAGATTGATAAAAAGTAAGCGAAAAATACAAGTTCTCTCCATCCCTAAATAATGTACGCTAATATATTGTTGACACACGGGAGGAGAGGGCTAGGGCGGGGCGGGGCTCAGGGCTCAGGATACCCGCCGCCGATGATTAATGGACAGATTGACGTATTCCTCACTATTTAGTAGCGCTCACTTGAACAAACGTTATTTCAAATCTATGATGAATTATTGTTGACAAAATTACGATTCCCTCGTACTTTTATGTAAAGAATTTTCCGGTACCATGTTGTGAGGTTATTGGATTCGATCGATTGAAAAGTTTAATTACTATACAGAGATGGCTTAATGAGTTTATTGCGGTACAAAATTGGTGGATTATATTTGTGCCGCCCTACCTCTAAAAACGTCAGCCACGGTTGCAGATCAAGCGCAATAATGCACCACGGCCTCGAGCCTCGACCTTAGTCAGTATGTGTCTGACACTCCTATTGCTGCCGCCCGTCTAGGGCAAGAAAAGTCTTCTAATTAGTGGGTCGCACTCAAATACCTGACTGTTAGATAGATACAAGTGTATGTATGCACACATAAATATGCAAATGTCTATCTACCCACCCACAATATCCTTCACGCTTCCAAAAGCCCCGAAATATCGTTTCGTAGCCCGTATTTAATTTAAAGGGCGTTATTACATAGGCCTCCTGATGCGTTTCTTTAACAAACCCATAGTACACAGGCGAACCATTAATTTTTCCGGCTGGCGGTCCAGGAGAAAGCAATCACGGCTGCCCAATGAACCAAGTTTGCCAATTAGACTTCTTTTAATGGGTAGTTAAAGAAAATCTCCCTAATTGGTGGACAGAGTGCCAACACTGTCGCGATTACCCTCTATTGTATAACGAGAACTTCTGCATTCATACATTATTCATAAGTTTAACTGCACGTAAAATAATTTACATTATAATAAACTGACTTTAAATTTGTTCGGCTTGGCTCCAAATTGTTTTTTTTTAATAGAACGCAAGTACCATGTAAATTAAGATTATCAAAGTAAGTTTACTCTCCTCACACTTACTAGAGAAATGTCCATCGCCTGGATATTTTGTGTTACTCATCTCCGCCAGTATAATTTACTTGTTTTATTATATACTAGCTACTCTTGCGCGGTTTCACCCGCTGCTCGGCTCCATTTAGTCGTAGCGTGATCTTTATTTTTATTTAGCCTATAGCACTCAGGAATATTGTAGCTATCTATCAGTAAAGGATTTTGGAAATCCGACCAGCGGTTCCAAAGATTACCCCCTACATACAAAAAATTACCGCTTTATAATATTAGTATAGGCACAAGTCTGTCTGTGCCTACAAACTAAATAAAATGTCAAACCTGATACATACAAAAAAGCGTTAATAATCGGAATTACACATCTGTTAAACATCGCAGAGTAAAATGTTTAGATTTAAGATAAATTGTTGCGTTTTCTGTTTCTATTAGTAAATACATATCTCTGCATAATTCTCTAATTAAACATTCTCGGGAAAGTGGTCCGCAATTATAACGTAGCCGTAAAATATTGTCAGAGTTGGAGACGAAGTTAAAAGTTGGCCCTGTTGTCGCAGATGGTGAGGTTCAGAACCAGATCGCGTGGTCGGAGCACTTGGACCCTCTGTTCGTGAATAACTATGAGATTGATCCAACACTCTCATGGCAATACTACGCCTCTTCCACCGGATTCATGAGGCGATATCCAGGTATGTAATTCAGTCTATGTTTTCTTTAAACTTATTTAAAGTTTGTTTAATTATAAAATATAATTGTCAGCAAAACATACTTGTAGTAAAAATACTCTTGTCAGTCTATAACCACTTGCTACGTTTACTACGAGGTTTTCGTAGCACGCCACGCTACGAGCGCTACGTAAATGTTTGCGTAGACAAAATACAAATGTTTACATTTAGTTGTCTTTCAATGATTTTTAAGTGAAAAATATACAACATTTATTTACGTGCTTTTATTCTCTCACTTAACTCATTATAAATGTTAAATGTTGACTGCACAGTCAATGCAATGTCTTAACAACGTGTTGTATATTCGATTCCTGCGTAGAACAATAAAATAATTTGCTTGATGCAGAAATGATTTGTGTACAAAATGATTATGATAGTAATAACATAGTTTTGATTTTTTTATTTATATTTTTGTCATAGCCATGTCCTGGCCTCCAGAAGATGGCTACTCACACCACGCAAGAGACTTCTACGACTTTAGGTCTTCAAATTGGTTTGTGGAAGCAGCAACATCACCTAAGGATCTCGTGATCTTGCTTGATGACTCCGATGACCTAAGCTCGTCTTACTGGCGGCTGGCCAAGTCCACCGTCTCCGCTTTGCTGGACACTTTGGGACCGAACGATTTCGTCAACATCTATCGATACAGCGACACGATATCCGAACTACACTCCTGTTATACGAAGGTTTTAGCTCAGGTAAGCACAATCTTACTCAATATTTCTTTCTCATTCAACAATTTTATCTTTTAGTCCGCACGAGATATTATTGAAAAACATAAAGAGAAGATAGATCCTTTACACTTAGATTGAAAACACATTTATCATAAATCAAATTCCTCAAAAATCAAATCCTATTTTAATATTAAAAGTATCCTAGTTTTTGATCTGAGCTCCGATTCATCTTCAACTTGGCAAGCTTCGCTGGAATCGGTTTTAAAATTTCAACGATTTAAATTATTAAGAAACGTGGGTAAAATATTAAAATATATTTACGTGAAAAGTTTTGCTAAATGACAGTATTTGTAACAAAAAAAAAATAATGGGTGAAAGTTGCGTCCCGTGATACATATTATATTAATAACGGTCATGTTATAAGCTTAACATTGAGTTCAAAGCGGTCGGGTTCGAAGCCACGACCTTTCGATCCAAAGTTCACGCCCTGAACGATGGACTATTGGCTTTTTATTAACGTTAGTTTCGATATTATTGAATTTCAGTGGTTCTAAGTGGCTTATAACTTTGCGAACATTTCTTAGAGAGCGTCTGTCCGTCGAGATTTCGTGTCTAGTTATTACATTTTCTCTACGCCATGTTTGAAATGTGATTGCTAATAGTACTTTTGTTAAAGTGACAGTTCGTGTTTAAATATAAAAAAGAACTAATAGTTCTTCTTCTAATAAATAACTAATAGGTATTTATTTAGTCTATGTACTCGTGCTGAGCTCAATTACAACTGAACTAATTTTGAAGTAAGTTTAACTAGCAGCCCGCCCCGGTTTCACGAATGTATCAAATCGTAGCGATTTCCCGATTAGCCCTTCTATTTTTCTCAAACTATCTTTCAGAAAAAGCATTTCCTGGCAATAATGAATGCAACGAAATAAGAATTGGCAAAATTGGTCCATGCATTTTTGAGTTATGCCAACACACTTTGCTATTAATTTTTATATTATAAAAAAAATACTATTTGTAACTGGATACATCAGTTGATGATGATTTTCATGGAAAAACTAATAAATGGCTAGTGGTAATACTATACGGACTCTGCCTACACGTTTGGGGAAAAACAATCATAAATTTATATTGAGTTCACCGTGACTAGTGGGTAGATGATAATTATTACGAGTGGGCGGTTGGATCATCAACGTTTATTTATTTACACTTTATTAGGATTCAATGACTTGTGTCCCAAATTGTAGTAGGCGTACAATAATACCCTCTACGTGGGTGTCAAAACTGTGTTTAGTTATTGTTTAGGAATGTTGCATGACTTTGCATATTATTTAGACACCACTGGCATATGGTGAATGAAAACATAGTTAGGAAATCTGAATTTATAATTTCTTATTATAAGTTTGAAATCGCCAATCCGCCTTGAGCAATCGTGGTGATTAATGCTCAAACTTTTTCCGTGTGGGAAGAGGTCTTGGCTCAGCCGTGGACACTTATAGAGGCTGACGATGTGATGATGTGATGACGTTTACTGAAGTCAGTAGTACTTCAGTAATTTACCCAAAACGCGGAAGGTTTTTGTATTTTTATTCCCAATTTTACGGTAACTATTTCTTAATGGAAGAAGTTCAGTGCCTCCTTCACTGCTTCTTGAAACCTCACGAGGATCGAGCCCATTCTCCGTTGTGACACACTAACGAAAATTATACCGTAAATTAAAGTATACAAGTGCCACTTTGGGAGCGTTTTATAAAACGTGCCTAATAGTTTCCAACACGTAATTATCTAAGCGCTAACAACAATCAAGAGCAATTATATTACATAAGTTTAATTAAAACTAGGGTAGCTGGTACAGGTGGGCGGTATAAACTGTTTAATGTCAGTACTGATTTCAACATGACGTAAATTCCTCTTTGTACACTTTTGGGGCTTTTAATATTGGTTTATTTGTATCAATTACTGTTGGGGCTCCTTGTCCATGATCTCGTATCACTGCGTAATAAAGGTCATGCCAAGACAGTACAACACACATTATACAAAAAATAAATGATGGAAAATACAAACACGGTGTACAAGCGATATCGAGATGAAATTAAACGCGGTGGGTAGCTCTCTGCTGTTATTAATTAATGTGATTTTCGTATCATCGCAATTTATATGATTGGAAAATAGTAATTTTATAAGAACCATTACTGTTTCGATACTCACACACTCACTTCAAGTACCAAACATGCTTTTTCAATAAAACTTGGTATTTTGGAAAACTGTTTTTATTTATTTCGCACTAGCTTCCACCCGCGTGATATGCTGATAAAAAGCCTATGTCGTATTCCGGAGTGTATCCTATACCGCAATGGTATATATATAATATATATAAATTTCATCCAGATCCATTCACTTGTTTTGGCGTGATTAAGTAATAAACATGCAAACATTGTAACTTTCGCACCTATTGTTCTTCTATTGTATCTCGAAGTGCCTCGATTGAAAGGTTAAACGAGTAGTCTTGGAAAATGTTAAAATAAATTTTATAACTGAGAATATTTTGGAAGATTTGATTACTACTGACGACTCCAAACCAGGCTTTTAATTTAATCATCAAAACAATGAAGATACATATCAGAATGTAGACGGTAGGGAATTCTGGATTCTAATAAGACTTAGTTAATTAAAGACCAACCAGCCAATCCGCCACAAGTCCAGGCCCACAATGCCTTCAGTGTATACCTACATTATTATAAGTACATGAAGCAATTTCAATTAAGGTATATAACCGCATACCATCCTCGAAGGATACATGACCGGAGAACCCAGATGAATTTGTCGTTCGATACTCAGATGTACGTAAAGTACGTACCTACATTTTTTTTATCAGTACCTACACATGTTTTTCGCAGAATAGAAATAGATGAAGATTTTTACCAGAGACAATTTAAAGGAACGGATTTTATTTTAATTAAACGACGTTTTATGTTCATTTTAGAAAGACCCAAATAATATTTCATGTAATTCATGATATGTTCTTTAGAAATCGGAATAGGTTTTATATTTTACATTGTGGATTATCAAAAATCATATTGAGTGCAAAGACAGCTTGGGCTACGCACTATTAAAATTATCTGAGCCTGTTGACCTTTACATTCTTATTACAAAAGAAGGTTTTTTTATAAGTCTATGTCTAAACCAAGTGTCTGTTTTTGTATTTCGAATTGAAGGTAGGTGGGAATAAGATTCAAAATTCAAAACCTGACTCAATGGTTTAAACCTAGACTTAAGATAATAAGTAATATAAGTCTTGTTTGTGATAAGGGCGTTGAATTTGAATATTCCCTTTTTTGAAAAATTTACGAAATGAGCGCCTCTTGAGAACTATTTCGTTGTACACCTTTGTAAGTTTAAGTTTAACAATGACGAGTCGTGGTTGCAATAATTAAAACCAAAGGTATTTCATATAACAACGATGCTACAGCTCGCCGCAACCGCTAGGTTAGGTAACCGTGGGCTAGGTTGTGGCCGCAATATGCTGGGTCATAAGGCATACCTACTCCGATTAGAAAGCCAATATACTTACCTACTTATATACCAATGAAATCATAAATTACTATAAATATATAAAATCGACAGTACATGTACACATTTCATTAATTTCAGCTTACGTCTGCCTTTTGACCTTCACAAAAACCCAATCAGAATTTCTGCGCTATAAAATACTTAATAACATTTCATATAGGAATCCGGCAATATCGACTACGAAATTTATTAATATTTTCCAACAAAAATGCAATTACTTAGTAGACCGAATTTTAATTAATCAACGTTGGAGATGAACAATTTTTTACGTTAAAATAATAAAGTTCAATTTAATATTGTTTTAAGACTTATAAGGTAGGTGATTTCTTACGAAAGCATTCGAACGAAGAAGACGACGGTAATGTTCTGATTGTGTTTTTCTGACACGTGGAAAGTATTCTGATACTAGTACTTCCTAAAACCACCTGTACACAATAATGTAAATGATGGCAGCAAATGCAAGTATCGCGTGTCGACGCGGCGCTGCGGCAGTTCGGCACCGATACCCATCTGTCATCGTGTGTACGCACATTAATGGATTCAATAAAGTCGACTTTAATGCGACACCATTAACATTAGTATCTGACCATTATATTTTTATACAGACAAACGCCACGATCAAGCTATAATTAAAAAATAGGTAGGTACAAAAGTAAAACAACGGTCATATTTTGTTCATGTGCCACACTTAGAGAATTTTCATAATTACAATAAATATAATAAATAATATAAAAGATTCGAGTAACTAAAATAAATACAATATTAAGAACGATAGTGAAACCAGTTCAAGTTGAAATTACCATAGTTTACACCACAGGTAATTAAATGAAAGAACTTTGTTACCACTATTATTTACGAGCGCCGAGGCGTGGTGTTAAACAAATAAAGCAGGTGATCTTTATAAACACCTCCATAGGGAAACATTAGGGGTTTGTATAAAACCACTTCATTATCACAACATTGTCACGCGACCTGCCAGCAGGACATTCATCAATCGGTCGGCTCGCGACTCACGCACTACCCACGTTAGGTCCAATGGTCACACGACATGCGTAAGTGTCGGAAAGCATTTAGATACATATTTATGAATGTACCTAGCTTTCGAATCCCATTTCCGACTATACAATTTGGTCAGAGAGACTGACCTCAACGAGATATTGTAAGAATGTTAAACTTTGAATACGCCTCTTTTTGTTCAATTTTATCATAAAATAACAGCTAACTTAGTTGCTACCTATTAGTTCAAGTCAAAGTTTTATGTGAATAAATGCATATATTAAATTTACAGTACGACATCCGACATATTCGAAGCTGGATGCCGGTTTCTGTCTTCCGTTGTCTCTTCCTTACTCCCGAGATAAGGCATCCTCGCATTTCCTAGAATGTCTGCAGAGAACTATGCATATAATAACAAGAATATCTTCTTAGCTGCGCACTTTATTCAGTTCATAAGTCTCGGCGAAGTTTAGTGATAAAATCGACGATACAAAGAGCAGAGTGGCGCGTAGCTTGTGACAGGTGGAGGGTGCGGCCGCGCCCTTATCGCGAGAGCTTGCAACTTTGCTGCGATACTTGCACACTTTCTCCAACATCGGGTCGAGCCAAGTCACAAGATCGATCGATGGCTAGATAATACTTCAGCTCCATTCCAACTACATACTTCTATATTTATTCTGAACAAGAGCGATAAAAGAACTTCAAAGTGTTTTCTATTTCATTAAACAAGAAGACGATCACAAAATGGAACCATCATCATAACGACAAATCAAATACTTAGACACGAGTCAATGCTTCAAGATGTAGATTGTGACTACTTGAAATCGTCCAAAGGGCTGGTTCGCTCTCGAGCCGGCAACTTCGCTAATATACGATCCACCAATTACCTTCATGGCAAACGTTTTCCACTTTATGTCGTCCCGGGGAAATGAAACTTTGTATATTTAAGAGTAACACGCGCCATGTTTCATTAGTATATTCGTATGTTTGTTCACATTAACGACTCTGCAAACGTTATATTTGTTATCTTATGACTTATTTACTGTTTACAAGCAATATTGCTTAAGTTATTTGAGACATTAAATACCTGGTTTCATTATGGGTGCACACGGCTGAACAGATATGAAACCGGTCTTAATCCAAAATAAAAAGTGCGTGCGTGTTATTATGTTCGTACGCTATTCATAATTGTTACACGTCCTTAGTAATTAAGTAACATACAAGTTGCATGAGTAATTACGAGCGACTTAGCGTCTGCACAGTGGGTTCTAGCGACTTCCTTGTTCTGTATTGTGCTTGAAGATAACTAAGCAATAAACGCTAAACATGGTGCTAGTTGGAACTCATAACAATGGGCCTTCGCAGCAAGTTTCAAGGTTGTTCGCCTGCAAGCAGCTGCAGCCTTCGTGCGCGGTTAGACACAACTTTAACTCGTTGCTAGTTGAACACAAAACTTGGCTAGTTTTATTAAACAATACGAGCCAAGGTGAGACCGTATAGATTATTTTCAAGATAGTAACCAAAGTTACATCATCTACCTGCTTTGATTTTCTACCACAGTACCTTTTAACTTTTCAATATAATTTAGAGCATTATTTTTGCTTAAACTACATGTTATTATATTATCTTTCTTTCTATATGAGTACATAAAATAGTACTAATATTGCATAAAGGCCGCGGTATATTATTGCGCTTTGTCCATGACCCCGGGGCCCCATCCCCCATTTGAGCCCATCTGAACGCTACGCGCCGTACGCTCGGGTCTGGTTCTAGTTGGGCGGCGAGCTATCATTCCTAGCCCTCAGCAGAATCACGCTTACAATGGTGGCCAGAGATCGTCGCATGATCCCTGACGCTGGGAATGTCTTCTACTGAGACCGCTGGGGCGTGAGAAGGATATTTCCTTCCTTGTTTGACCTCGTCCCTATTGCTCTCGCTCAGCACCATAATTAATTTTGTCAGATGCCTAATCTTATTAGGATCAACGAATGAACACAATACCAATGTAATGAATATTCATATTTCAAACATCTACGTTTTACTTCCTTTTGATGCGAGCTGAATATCAACCAATAAAATTGCAGGATTATTTCTCCCTGCGTCTTCAAAATGTTTTATGAGTTTACGGATGAACCAATGAAGTAAATTGAACTTATTGAGTTACATCGGAATAAGCACTGTCTCATTGATTTGCTTTCACAAGAAGAAAACTTTGTGATCGTGTTTTTGCAAAGCTTGTATTATTTATAAGAGATTATATAAAACGGCGCATAATTTTAGTTAGCGATAAATTTCTCATGTTTTAGGCTCTTCCCGAGACAATAAGGGAGTTCAAGACAGCATTATGGAACGCTGAACTCTCAGGAGGTGTGGCCAATCTGACTGGCGCCCTTACTACGGGTTTTGAGATTTTACACAGGGTAAGAAACACAATACAATGAATGAACTACATTTATTGATTTAATAAATGTCATAGCAATACTATGTTTCTTCTCGTACAAATATTTCGCTTACTAAAATTGTGTATAATATTTCAACAGTATAATCGAACGGGTCTTGGATGTCAATGCAACCAAGCAATCGCAGTGATCGGCGCGGGAGGTGGCGCTGCCGGCGTAAAAGGCGTGTTCCGTACGTGGAACTGGCCGCACATGCCTGTGCGCATCTTTACGTACCGCGTCGGTGGAGACGCCGCCGCTGGACATAATATGAAGGACATGGCGTGCACTAATAAAGGTACAGTTGAATTTAATTTTTTGAGTTTAGACATTCAATACGTACTTGAAATACTTGTGTATTGTAACTAAGTGCACAGAGCCATACTTAGGCACAAATGGGATGGTTCGACCAGAGTGATACCACGGCCTCACAGAAAACCACCCTGGTATAACACAGCTTTGTATTTTGCCTTGTGAGTGAGATTACTGGAGACCCAATCGCTCCGCTCCCCTAATCTATCCCTAATCCCTAAATCTCCACAACCCTCATCCCCAAATGGTCGACATGATTTTCTGTAAAATAGACCCTATATGCAAAAATAAACAATGTATATTTTTCCTAATAATTTGTCATAATTTTGTTAGGTTTTTACGTGACAATAAACGAGCACTCGGAGATTAAATCGAAAGTGCTGCACTTCGTGGAAGTGTTGGCGCGGCCGCTTGTCATGTACCAGACCATGCACCCCGTGCACTGGAGCCCGGCGTACGTCGGCGGAAGGGTAAGCAACATTCTTGTACCTATATTTATATGTATGTCATTCGTATCAAGATTTTGCTAAGGAAGTCCTTCAAACAACTCACAATTGATCTATTAAATTATGGTCCGCGTTTTCTCTAACCCTATGTACTCGTATGTTTAAATCTGTAAAACTTCGCAACAGAGTCTGATGCATAAAGTGATTGGAGGGGAAGGTTTATATAATCAATCAGAAGGGCCATCAAAATAAGTTTTGTGTTTTTTTTTAATTACAGAGCAGCAGTTTAGCTGATGATGGCATGGGACAACTGATGTCTTCCGTCACCGTACCAATCTTCGATAGGAGAAACCACACGGTACTTTACAGTTTTATATTCTTTTTTATGTTCTGTGTGGATATGTTGTTTTCGGTTTGGGTGTGAATTGTGTGGAATTTCTATGTCTGTACACCACGCGTCACAACAGTAGAGAGCCACGTTTAAAATAAATCTATTTACAGCGTAGCCATTAACAAACTGTTCTTAAGAACTTATATTTATGTAAAAATGGTTTTCTTTACAGCAAAGAGAAGCTAATTTACTCGGCGTTGTTGGAACTGATGTACCTATCGATCAAATAAAGAAGCTCGTGCCACCATACAAGGTAAACTAAACCGTATCCCATCCAAGTTAGATACTAATTTTATTTCTTGTAACACTTTATATTTTTGACATTATGTACCTTTTTACAGTTGGGTGTAAACGGTTATTCGTTCATGGTGGATAACAACGGGCATGTATTGTATCATCCTGATTTGAGACCATTGGTATGTAGCCTTTATTCCTAGAATTACTCTATCTTTGTTTTAATTTGATCCTTATGACGTTAGTGATAGAGATCTAACACAACAACTAATTACCAATATTTTGTTACAGCATACGAACGAGGAAGTAAGTACAGAAAATGATACCGCAAACGGAATAGGTTAAGGTGTTATGTATGTAGTAATTAAGAGGAAGGCTGGTACTAAACTTGGCTACCTATACTCCACAGTACACTGAGACGCTGCGTCCTCTGTACTCGAGTGTGGACCTCACCGACGTGGAACTGCTGGTCGACTCTGATGAGAATTCTAGGGTCAACCTCACCTCGCTGCTACTCGATGTAAGATATCATTGTTATTGTTTAAATACTTCTACATACTAATTTAAAGACTGAAAGAGAATTTCTAGTTTGATATAATGTTCTAATTATGTATTAAACCTTCGTTATACATAACCTTTAACAAATCAAATTCAACAATTCTTAACGTTTACTGCACGGTAAACGCAATGTCTAGATGCCAGTTGCATCTGCTGTGAGTGTCAATTCGCTACCCCGCACGAAACCATTCACTATAAGTAGCTCTTAAAATGACAATTTTAAATGCGTCCTTAGCTAGTTCCTAATATAGGCAGGCCAGTTCATAATGTACATATGGCCATTGTACAAAAATACTACAAACATCACCAGTTTTCAATAAAACAATGCATTATTTACTTGTAGCTTCGTCACGACATGATAGAACAGAGGGAAGGTGAGACAGAGATCGCAGTTAAAGTGCAATACGACAACATGCGCCGCGTCGCCACTAGGCGACAGAGGTACTTCTACAGTCCGGTAGATGGCACTCCGTTCTCACTGGCGGCAGTGTTGCCAGACGGATACGGCATGTATGAGCTGCAGGCGGAACAAGAGGTCAAACATAGTCCTGTTAATGGTGAGTAAGAGCTGGTATTAATTATAGATTGTTTTATTGTAGCAAGAAAACTGTTTACTTAGAAAGTCTAAAAGAAATCAAAGAAGGAAAGTTTGGAACTCGCTTTTTGGCTCTACTTGTCTGATATTTATGTCCCATACTTTTTGCAGTCACGGAATACTTCAAAGGCGAAAACTGGAAAGTTCATCCTGACTGGTAAGATTACCACCAGAATGTAATTCACAATCTCCTTCACGACATTGAAACAAACAATAACAATCTGTATTTTCTGGTACCTAGGGTGTACTGTGAGTACGCTTCGACATCAGACCAGACGTTTAACTCCGCGGAGGAGCAACTACTGCACTTCTTGTCGCGCGCGGGGCGGCCCGGCTGGAAGTGGATGTCACTGAGACCACGGGCACTCACTCTGCACAATGCGCACAAGAAACAGGATAGGGACTCTTATTACTGTATGTATTGTGTATTTGTGTCATTATAAAATTGCTATGTATGATATGAATCGGTTAAATTGTCTCAAGGTCATCACAAAGACCTCGCTTTTTGCAGCTCTAGCTGGTGTTCATATCTATAAATTACAAAATATTTATTTTAATGTTAATGTTTCTAAGTTTTAAGACATCTAAGAGTTACTCCTAAGACCGAAAGTCTTTTACAAACTAGAAAATAATATGCGTCTTCCTTTCAGGTGACAAAACTTTAGTGCAATCATTAATTAGGGATGCAATGGTAATCAAAGAATTGGACGCTCACACTGGACATGCCAGCCATCACTCACAGTAAGTATATTTTATATTGAAGCATGTTTTAATGCAATACTAAACTATAGCATTTTCTCAAAACTCTGCAAACACATTTTGTTTTTGCATTTAAAAGCAAACAGATGAAGGCGGTGCGAGGGCTTGGATCTTAAAATCTATGATCACATTCCTATAAACAAAAGTTAGGCAATACATATTATCTATACCTATGTAGGTATCAAAAAATTATACATCGATTGGCCAGTTATGACCTTAAGTCCATGTAGGCATGTCTATGGGACAAATCAACTAAAAACCAACCACAAATCAAATTTTCACGCTATAACCTACCTTATTATGGAAAAACAAAACACACATTAATCATGGCAACCGTATCTGATCTACCAATCACATCTACCTCACATCCTCGTACCGCCATTAGCTCACCTTGAAAAATCCAATAAAATATAAGGCAATATGCATGAACACTTATCAGTTTAGCACCCTTACGAACAATATAACTTGAGCACTTTTATGTTATTTTATGTGGATAACTAATTTGTTTGTGTTTGTCACACAAATAGCCCGATAGCGACTTTAATGGCACTCCTTACAAGGTAACGTAACTCTTGTGATTGGTTCAACTACAAGTAGAACTATGTTATAACTAAATGCTAAGGACACGTATTGGCTATTGGAGTGGATTGGGTATACCTACGGAATACTGGAAGAGTTTGATTTGTGCTAAGAAATACACGGTATATAATAAATTTTAATTTTGTCTCGCACTTTACCTAACTGCGTTTGAACTTCACTAAAATGCTATGAGTATGATCGAATACTGGACGTGTTTTATGAAGTGAAGACGACTTAAACGGATGATATTTCTATAGGGTGTGTTTTATTTCGAAGGACAATTTTGGCTCGTTATTCTGTTTTAAAGTCTAGCTTTCAAGGATCAGGTATAGTATGCAGGTGTTATGTGTATATGTTAGATCATTATTGTTTATAATACGATTTAAGGATAACTAATAATAGTTACTGTTGGTAAAAAAATCTTCGAAGAGAAGAGAGACAAGACAAGACTCATGGAACTTGTTCAAATACTGTTAATTTTTTAGGAGGTAATCTTTTAAAAGCACCTCGATATCTGAGGTAAAGCACTGCATATATTTATTCCAGAAATATATCAGGTACCAAAACTTGTTTTCTTACCCAGTATTTTCACTGAAAACAAATGAAAATGGCTCCCAAATAAACAAAAGCCAATCAATATGAAATGCTCACCTCTTTACATCTTTACAGGCAAGGAAGGTTCCACAAGTTCGTGGTGACGCTGTCGTTCATCGCAACACGCAGCGGTCTGCTGCGCTGGACTGAAAATGTTAACACGTCCAGGAGCACTGATTCGTCAGAACCGTAAGAAAAACAAACAATATTGCTATTGCTAAAAACTTTAACGCGACTAGGAGTCACTTTTACTCTTAGATCGAATTCATCTTAAACTTAATAAATCAGCTTCACTAATAGAACTGACCGACAGACAACATTTTGTTTGAAGTTCAAAAGTGCCTGTGAAATAAATGGTTTTTGAGTTTTAACTTTTTTGACTTTTAATCTAACTAGTGTTTTACCTTGCAGACACTTCAGTGAGAGATACTCTCGCGCATACGACTCTGAATGGTATCGTCGCGCGGTGGAGCACCACGCTATTGAACCCGAGAGCTTCGTGTTCTCGGTACCCTTCCGTGATGGGTCAGAAGCTGAGGAGCTGAGTGGCCGCCCCCCTCTAGTGCTGGCCACGCACGCTGTCTTCGTGGAGTCCCGCGGGCACCGCGCACCCGCCGCCGTCGTGGGCCTTCACTTCCAGCTGGACTCTCTAGCTAAACACTTCTTGAACGTCACTTCAGCAGTAAGTCATATACATAAAGACTACGCACTTTTTAAACAATCTGCTTAACAGTTTCTTTCTTCTACAGTGCACAGCTGGTACTTCTTGCAAGAAGACATGCGCGGGCGACGAGTTGGACTGCTATATTTTGGATGACAACGGCTTCATCATTTTGTCAGAGGACGTCTCACAAACTGGTCGGTTCTTCGGACAAGTCGATGGTACTATTATGGATTCCCTAGTACAGGATCGAATATACAAAAAGGTCGTTGTACACGATCATCAAGGTCGATGTCCGGATTCCAGAAACTCATTTAGTGGCGACGGTCACAAAATTTCGGTGAGTACCTTGCTGTGTTAGAAAATACAACGCAAACAAAAACTAAGAAATTTGACATTTATCAAAGTTGTTATACGAGTATTAATTCATATTATGCTTTACATTTCAGCCTCTGAAACCGCTGTCTTGGCTCGGCGGATACCTCACTAGTCTGCTTGCCGTATGGTTCCCACTGTGGGAGCCAGTACGTGCACGAGCCAGGCCATACGCTGAGGAAGAAGTTGGTAAGTAGAAAATTGTTATAAGGCATAGTAGCTCCGTGTTATTAAGCCTGTCGAAATACATGTTGTTTTATTGTAAACAGATTACGAGGACTACGAAAGCGAAGATATGGAAAATGATGATGACTTGGACAGGGATCGTGGTACATATGAGATCATAATCGATGGGTTGGGTGAGAGTTCCCGTGACACCGGCCGGGTACACCCGGGCCCGCCGCCCCCCTCGAGCGGGGGCGTGCCGCCTCCCCCGCCCCGCGAGGCTGCCCGCTCGGCCGCCGTGCGACCCTGCGACACCAGCGCAGAGCTGTTCACACTGCAGTCCTCACGACTCAACACGGCACAACCACTCAAGGGCAAGCTCACTAATTGCCATAACTCTGGCTGCGAGAGGTGAGATTAGTAAATATAATTCAGAGAACCTTTTTATATATAAGTATTTTCTGAAACTTTACAGTCTACGTTCGGAGATCATGGTTTTATGACCATGCCCAATCAAGGTGGTGGCTTCGATGCTCAATCAAGGGGTCGTCAACGATCAATCCTCCACGGTTATCATAGTGTTTGTTCTAAAGTTGCGCGACTAATGAAGGGAATATGAAGATATTTTATATCAAAATGTTAAATTCTATTGTTTCCAGGCCATTCAGCGTGCAGAAGATCCCGCACAGCAACCTGATCCTGCTGGTGGTGGACACGCTGTGCCCGTGCGGCGCCAAGCGGCTGGACGTGCGAGCGCGCGAGGCGGCGGCGCGCGCCCCCTGCCGCCGCCACACTGCCCACCACCGCCGCCGTCCCGCACACTGCGGCTCCTACCATCCTGAGGTAACCTTACACACTCCAACAATTTTTTATGGTATAGGTCAGCAAACGAGCCGACGGATTACCTGATGGTAAGCAATCACCGCCGCTAAAGGAAATACGATGCGTTGCCGCCGGCCTTTTAGGGATAAAGTCTTCGAATATTTAAGAATTGAGAAGGAATGGGGGTATTGTGGAGATATGGAGAGGGATTGGGCCTCCGGTAACCTCATTCACATGGCTAAACACAACGTTGTGGTTGTTTCACGTCGGTTTTCTGTGAGGCCGTGGTATCACTCCGTTTGAGCCGACCCATTCATGCCGAAGCCCACACATTACCTCTACGGGTACCTTAAAACTCATCACGAATATGGTACACGGTTGGTGCGGTAGCTGGCTGCAACTTCGCAGTCGCGGATTCGATTCCCGCACCGAACAACTCTTTGTGTGATCCACAAATTGTTGTTCCGGGTCTGGGTCTCATGTGTATAATTTGTGGAATTGTATGTTTTAAACCGCACCCAAGACACACGAGAAGATCTGAATGTGAAGCAATGTTTTAAATAAATAAATATACATATTTATAACATATTATATGTAACTCGTATATGTCCAGGAAATCGAGATCCAGTCATGTGGTCGCGGCGGTCGGTTGCTCCCAGCAGTGTGGGCGGTGCTGTCCCCGCTGCTCCTGCGCCAGTTAGTGAGCACGTGACTGCGCGTGCGCACCTAATGTTGTACCACCGTGCGGCGCACAGCGCTCGGAACGCCGGCGAGTCGTGAAACTCTCTGTACCCCACTCAGTTTCAGTAAACCGGTCGATTATTTCAATGTTATCTCTTAGTTTCACGACATCTCCAGGGAAGCTTCATCCGAATATGGCGTTCAAGTATTCTTGCGAGTGATATGAGTGGAGTGGAGTGCGGTCTGTATGTATGCGGTGTATGTCTGTCTCTTCTCAGTCGCTCCAGCCGCCGAGTGGCCGGCGGTGATTGCGTCATGGGGCCGATGTAATTGTGCCACCATGCGACTCACCGCCGGGTACCCGGTACCCGGTACCTACACTCAGCTGCTGGAGCGTTTAATGAGGGGCTTACAGTTTTGATCAATTTTACCGACTGAAGTTTTGGTCCGACCAAGTGAACTTTTGATCTTGTTTTGAGACAGGATTATAGTCGAGTTAGGGTACGATTATTGAAATATTTTCTCCTCTCTGTTAAGTTGTCACTTTCATATTGTAACTGATGCGGACGCATGCGGTAATAGGTAGGTAACGAATATCTTGTTAAATTTAAATTGAAGATTATCACAAACTTGGAGATCTTATAAATTATAGCTAATGTTAATAGGTATTGAAAGATAATTAATGTAAAATATTAATATCGTTTAACAGTTTTAGAAAAATTTACCTATGTTGAGACCTAATTCGATTTTATTTCTTGATATCTGTCATTCAATTTTATCGCAAACTTATTGAATAGTTGCATAGGGGTTGATGTAAATAAGAAATTATTTGTTTGTAGAGAGATTTCTTTGCTGAGTTTATGTGTGCCTGTGTAATGTATCAGTCGTTGTGTCGTAGAGCAGACGTCGCGGCGCCGCCCGCACTGCCATACTGGGGAACAAACCTAGAGGTATTGTAGCTCGCTGAAGTCGCGCCCGCCGGGGCCGCGCGTTCCGGGCGCCACGACGCCTGTCTCTCTGACGACTTTCCATTTTAGTCGTTAGTGATTTTCTCGCCTAATCTTCGAGTAATGTCGTAAAGAAACTGTAAACAGTTTCGTATTTTTATTGTAAATATTTTACTAACTTAAATGGCCTATTACAATTTTAAGAAAGTGTGTTGCTATAATATAGGTCGTTCAAATTCGACTTCTGCTGTCGTCAATATCAACATCGTCATATCGATCTGTAACAATAATTGTTTGCATATCATAATGTTCTCTTTCGATTGTTTCAAGTTGAAAGGAAAAGGCCTCTGAACATCGGATAAGTACTGACACTACTTTCATACGTAAATTTCAAATTTCGGAGTATAAGAGAATAAGCGTATTTACCTATTAACTTGTTTGTACCTAACCTAAATGTGAATGTTACATAGGAGTAATGATCAAATCCACATACTTACATTAAATAGTTTTATATATCATACCTATTTATTGAATAGTCATTAATGTACACGAGTATACGGCTTGCTATTGTCCGTTATAAGTGTCCCAATATTTGAAACAGTGTAAAACCCCGTACAGATATTCCTAAAGCACATAGCCAGAGTTAGAGATTGAGTGCCAAACCACTATGATACAATATGTGACACAAGTCCGTTGCGAGAGGCGCATCTATGAGTGCAGAGGACAATAGCAAGCTACACATTCAAAGAGCACACGCTGCAGCAATCCCTTGGTACGTACTTCTCGTATTGTAATGTTAAGCGGAAAGAGAACTGAGCGGGTTTAGTAGTAGAATTGCCTTTTGCGGGCCTTGTATATGCAGTGTTACCGACATTTATATGGTGCAGTAGTTAGTTACACAAGATACCTAGATATTACAATTATATCTTCCGTACAATAGAGAAATATTAGATTTGAAGCAATAATAAGGTTAACTCGGTGTATATTCCCAGAGGTGTACCGACGGGATTACTGCAGTGGGCGCGCGTACCATACAAGCTAACATAGTCATATCGTACACAACATACTCACTAATATACTACAGATAATTATCGTTGATTGAAGGCGCTTTTGAGAAATTGTACATTTTGTATAAATAATACAGTAAGGAGTCGATTTAATGGCGTAGAGATTGTTTAAGCTGGTGAGTGGCGGACGACTGGTAATGTATTGAAAGTGCTTCTAGTAAGCGTCGAGTCTTCCATAGCAGTCGAACGCGGGGGCGAGTGTTTATTGTTACGTCTAAGTATTAAACGATAATAATAGCGTATACTTATCATAGCATAGGCGGAGCTCGCGTCTTGTACCACGTGCAGATATTTTTACTTGCACTTCGCGGGATTTAGTTCTATGTAACTATAGACACAAAACAAATACCTCGTTTAGTTACTCAGAATGTAATAGTTAGACAGAGTTAGCATTTATTTCGCGTTTAGTTCTTGGACATATCAATTCAGGCACCAAATGAGACTATAGTGTAAGCAATTTTTAAATGTTTTCTTGTATTACAGTATTGATATCGATTATTTTAATAAGGTCTTTATCAATGTTTAGTAGAGTCGCGGGACTGGCGCGCAACGTATTGATCCCACATTGACAGGGTCCTCGTTAAAATAGTTGTGTGGTGGCGCCATTACGTGCGACCCGAACTTGTCACGAACAGTGATATATAAACTTTGCCACCTCTACCCTGAATCTAACATTTTTATATAAATCCTAAATTACTCGTTTTACTTAATAGACCTGTCAATTTCGTTCTAATGCTTTTTAGAACTACTGTCAAAATTCGATAAATTCTGGATTAAATATACCTATATATATAAATATGTACTTGTTTGATTAAAAGCAAATGTTGAAGTCAGTATTTACAATGTTTTCTTTGTATTAGTTAAAAGTTGTGTCATTATTCACGGCAATCTGTGTGAAAATGGTTCTCTAGCGTAATTCTAGTAAAATACTGTTCTTTTTGTTACTTGCCAGTTCATTGCTATAGATATACAGTAATTACAACAATAAAGTTCTCTTATAACATTGTGAATGTGTCACGTTTCATTTTATAACCCCAACCATTAATTATAAGTTAACATGAAATAAAAAAAAAACTACGTTTAAAAAAACCGACTTCAAAAACAAAAAATTGTCAAATAAGTAATTAAAATTGATATTTTAATACCACTCTTACGTACGCGAAGCTAATACTTTTAATATTAATAATAAAACACTATCAATTCTATGTGCTACCTATTCATAGGTTTGAAGTCGGTGCCAAGCCTAATACATAATATAATATAAACACTCGCCGGGCGCGTGTGAATTTATTTGTTAGGATTTAAGAAATTTAGTACCGATTTTCTAACTTTATGGCATTTGCGTAGAATCAGAAGTCTATATGGTTGCGTTACCGGCGAAACTGTATATAGCTTAGAAAGATATTTGGATGAATTATGAAAGTTTTCTCGTACTTGGTTGTTAAAAGTAGTAGTAGATAGCTGCGTTGTTAGTTGTGGAAATTTCGTCTTTTAGCAATTAAACAGTCTTAATTCTCATTTAGTTTTATTCTGTTTAGGGCTTGGCACCGACTTCAAACCTATGAATAGGTAGCACATAGAATTGATAGTGTTTTATTATTAATATTAAAAGTATTAGCTTCGCGTACGTAAGAGTGGTATTAAAATATCAATTTTAATTACTTATTTGACAATTTTTTGTTTTTGAAGTCGGTTTTTTTAAACGTAGTTTTTTTTTATTTTTTACTTTTTAGTGTCTGTTACAAGTTCTTCTGTAAACTACAGTAACATTTAAAATATAAATTAACATATTGAATAGTATATATTTTTTAAGTAGCTTTGTGTAGGCCTACAAAAGGAGCCGCTCGATAAAAAAAATATAGATCCCAAGAAATGGCGAAGTTCTCATCATCATCATCATCATCATCATCAGCCATTTTAATGTTCCCACTACTGGAACACAGGCCATCTCTCTAAGAAAGTTTTTAACAATATAAATTAAGTCCAAACACGAGGTAGCTACTGTAAACCTTTCGGTTTCGTTGCTTCGTCTTCATCATCAGATCCCTGATGACAGTCACAATCGATCTAGATGTAAAGTTCTTATCAAAACGAATTAATTAAGCTCAAACACAAGGAAGCTGCTATGAATCGTTGAGGAGTTCTCTTGACTGTCTCTCGGTTCCATCCGGAATTCCCTCGACGGTCAATGGTCTCCATCATCAGGTAAACTGCAGACCTTCAGTTGTTATAATACATACAGGTACAAAGTTTTCATCAATATAAATGAATTAAGTTCAAACACGAAGTAGTTACTGTAAACCGTTCAGGAGTTCCCTGAGCTGTCCTTCGTTCTCATTATCAGACCCTTAATGACAGTTACAACCAAGCCTGCTGCAAAGTGCTCGTCAATACGAATCATTCAAGCCCAAACACAAGGCAACTACTTCAAATAGTCAAGGAGATCCCTCGACTGTCTTCCAGCTCCAACATCTGGTCGACTTCGACCTTCGTCAAGTTGTAGTGTTGTTAAAGGCCTACTTAAACATCATACAAAAACACTACTCGCCCCTACAATTTTCGAAATTTCCCCTCGGTTTCTCCAGGATTCCATCATCAGATCCTGACCTCATGACAATGGGACCAAATGGCAAGTATACCCTACCGAATAAAAAAAGAATTTTGCAAATCGGTCCAGGCGTCTTCGAGTAATCGGTGTACATACATAAAAAAAAAAAAAAAAAAAATACGCGTCGAATTGAGAACCTCCTCCTTTTTTGAAGTCGGTTAAAAAAAAAACAATAAATTCTAGGTACATCAGGTTTGTACTTAGAGGTAATTGAAGAAAATATTGTTTCGTTTGTTCGTCTTAAAAATCTTTTCTCTTTAGTATAGCCGTAATGGATTTAAAAACTTTTCACGGGGCCCGGCGCATCAAATCCAATCAAAACGGTAGTTTCCAACTATACTCCGAATTTTAATTCCATTCCAGATTTGACAATTTCAGTGTTGCAACGTTATGACACGTAATAAATAGTGACGTTGCGAAATTATTCGATATGGAAATCGAATATTTCTGAATCGATTCCTCTCGTTTATAAATTTAGTCTCGTAAACTAAGTTTATCAGGAAATAAAATATTTCTGAACCGATAATTTAGTTTTGACAATTAATTAACGATCTGAGACTTTTCTTTTGTAATTGTGTGTGATTTTAATAAAAAATGTGATCATGAAGAAACGTGACAAATAAAACAGACATTTTATAAAATGTCGCCGTCATCGCTATCGCTATTGCCGTTACTCTATGTAACATTTATTATGAATTGTGTCTTTGATATTTATTGTCAATTAACATATCTAGCTTGCTCATTTTTTCCTCTTCTTTGAAAACATGGGATAACACATTTAGACACTTCGGTAGCCGTAATTTTTTGAATGCCTTCCTGAAACTGATTCACTGATTGTTTATCGATTTTTGTGTTCATCACTACACTGTTATATGTGGTATCATTATTTCACAAAATGACAGTGGTCAATGTCAAATCAGGAATCGAAATAAAAGTCTGACTATAGTCAAATTCAATATTTTTATCCAAATGTCAAAAACAATACTTTTCTATGAAATACTGAGTTATGACGTCATAGTATTTATCGTCAAATAGCTTACTTATTTCTTAAAAAATAGCTTAATAATATCTTAAATGTAGTGTATCGATCGATCGATGAATGTAGGTATATTGTGTGTCATTTTTAAATATTTTATTGTATTGAAACGTCGACATGATTTTTTGTTTTGACCTAGGAAACTACCCAATACGGTAGTTTTCAATCAAATTCAATACTTTTATCCAAATGTCAAAAACAATACTTTTCTTTGAAATTGTATGAAACTGAGTTATGAGGTCATAGAATTTTTGCGTCAAATAGCTTACTTATTTCTTAATAATTAGCTACAAAATATCTAAAACTTAGTGTATCGATCGATCGATAAATAAAAACTCTTTTCAATATTTTATTGTATCGAAACGTCGAATTAATTTATTTTTGACCTAGGAAACTACCCAATTGTACCACGCGTGGGTGACTACCCAAGAATGTGTAAGTATGAAACGAACGTTTTATCAATTAAATTACAATATAGATAGACAAAATAACACTTCAGTATAGGTACTTAAGTATACACATTACACTTCAGTATAGTAACAAGATAGACAGAATTACACTTCAGTACATGTTTCCAACATTTGTTTTGTCCAAGTACTTCGAAGCCAATAGTTATAATAGTAAGTTTTTGTTGCATTCGATTAGTGGAAGTAAGCTGTTTCTAATTAACTATGTATTTTATTAAATATATATAACTTCTTTAAATGTTTAACATTTCAATTCTACCGATACCTTAGTTTCACGCTAACTTGCCCTTACCGAAGTGATAAATCTAAATAAAAAAATGAAACTGAATAATTAATTTATGATACGATTATATTAGACAATAATAACAGGGGTACATACAAAGTTACATGTACAAGCTGGCCGCGAAGACAATGTCTCTCTTGAGCAGTTTGATGGCCTCGCTGAACTTGTTCTCCAAGTCTGTGTTACCGATGTTCTTGGCGGCTTGGCACAGTTGCC